GAGATCAGGCAGACCCTCTCTCTCCCACAACTAAAAATAAAAATAAATAAACATAAACATGTCAATAAAAAAGGAAGCAGGGGGGTACTTTTTCAAATAGAGAGAGCATCCTTAGAACAATCATATCTTGTCTCAGATCGTCTCCTAGTTTGAGTATGAGTCTTGTTGGTACCGGTCTCAGAGCGGTTGGATCAACATTACACATCTCAAGCCATTGAGGTCGCTATGGTGATAGAGTGAAGCTGTCCACTCACACACTTAATGACTTACTTTCTTAGATCCCATGATCCTACACTTGGCCGGATTGAGATTGCCTAGGGCGATCCTTGGGTTGTAAACCGGAGTCAGTACTTTACTGGGTATCTCGTTACTTCGGAGGAGGTCTTGTAATGCTGTCTGCATCTTAATAGCTTCATTATTACCACTCTTCTCGACCTTAGAGAGAAGATACATGTAAGATTAATTATTATTAATATTTTAAAAGCTAGGTTGTTATTTATTATGAATATTTTCAAAAATTATCCGTCTTTTATTTTACTTGTTTTCCAATGTCTTCAAGTTGTATTTGCATTTCGAGCTGGTTCTCAAATCGCTGGAGCATAGACTGACCACACCCCTTTAAATAGGCCTCTAGGAGTACACCAAAGCGAGGAGTGAAGAGTGGATTGTACATTTCACATTTTAAGTACCTAACAATAAAAAAATCAAGTCGGAATCGACTCAAACTTTCTGGATAGTATAAGGACATCAATATGTATCAGAAAATGTAATAAAAATTCGGGGTGATTTTGGAGCCATTTTTTGGAAAAAATCATGGGCTATAATAGCCTTGGGTATTTTTCAAAAATTGGCTCATTTTTAAAAATGGTCATAAATCAAAAATTTCTTATCAGAATCGACTCAAACTTTCTACATAGCATAAGGACATCAATATGTATCAGAAAATGTAATAAAAATTTAGAGTGATTTTGGAGCCATTTTTTGGAAAAAATCATGGGCTATAGCCTTGGGTATTTTTCAAAAATTGGCTCATTTTTAAAAATGGCCATAACTTAAAAATTTCTTATCGGAATCGACTCAAACTTTCTACATAGCATAAGGACATCAATATGTATCATAAA